AAAAAAAAAAAAAAAACCCAAACCCACTGCCACCATGTCAATTCTGACTCATAGTGACCCCCACTGGGTTTCCAAGGCTGTAAATCTCTATGGAAGTAGCTGTTCTTAGAACAGCCCATCTAAGCAGGTTTTTAGCCACTTAGAGCCTCCTTGTGATACTGCACCCATCACCTGCTAGATGAGATCAAAGTAGTTACAAGAACCCTCCAATGTTGCCATCTTCAGAGTTCTCTGACCCAGGGACTCCCCACCTTGCTGAAAGAGGACGTCAAATAAGCTGCCCTTAAGTCTGCCCTCCCTCCTCTCCCTTGGAGCTTTTCATGCCCTCTTCCCCTTTTGACGGTGTCCCTGGGTGGTGCAAACAGAACGAGCTTGGCTGCTGGCATACAGGATGGAGGTTCTCGTCACCCAGAGGTGCCTGGGAGGAAATGCCCAGGAATCCACTTCCCCAAAACCAGCCACTGAAAACCCTACGGAGCACAGTTCTGCTCTGACGCACACGGAGTCGCCCTGAATTTGAGTCCACTCGACAGCGAGTTGTGGAAAGCTGAAGTCTCACTTGAACAGACTAGCAGACATGATTAAAATAGACCTTAATCCTAGTGACTGACTGGCTATTTTTCCATCCCTTTTGTTTTAAGTAAACAGAAGAGCCAACCCATTTGATGGATGCTGAGGTCTTTAGGTTTGTGATTTTCAATTATACATTCTTTTAAGCATAACCCTCTCCCATGACTGGTTTTGGCTGAGGACCGTAGTCTATGAAGCGAGAGGACCGTGACCACAGGAAGAGGCACCCAGAGTCGGGAGTAACCACGGAAAAGAACAAAGACATTCTTAGCAGTCCAGGGGATCTTCGAACCCTTCCCATTTCCCTATATAACCATATTTATCCCTTTGCTTGAAGAGACAGACATTTTAGGGAAGTGATTCTCTGTCTCCTTGTTATCGATACTCAGTAAATCCTTTTGCTTTCCTGCTGCAACCTGTTGTGATCAGTGGCTTTATGCAACAGGGGGTAAGGACCTTGTTTCTACACCAAAGTGGTTTTGCCCTTTCCGGAGGCTTCATGTGCTGCTTGCCTCTGGACAGCCTCCTGCTGTGGGTGCCTGCCCCTCCCTCCGGCTGTCAGTGGGGGCCTTCCCCCTCCCTCTCGCTGTCAGTGCACCAGCTGAAATAAATAGCTTATGGGGCAACACTGCTCTCTCATGGCAATCTCTTTTTTCTTGATCAGCCCCAAACTCCTTCCAACTCACTACCCCAGGTTAGTATCAAAGAGCCTATAATTGAATCTGGCTTCCTATCCTGGCTTCAGGGAATTGGACAAATGCTCCTCCCTGAGTCTGTCAGGAGCTCTGGTGGTGCAGTGGTTAAAGCATTTGGCAGCTAACAACAGTTCAAATCCACCAGCTGCTCCGTAGGAGAAAGATGAGGCAGTCTGCTTCTGTAAAGATTTGCAGCCTTGGGGCAGTTCTATTCTGTCCTCGAGGGTCGCTATGAGTCGGAATCAACCCAACAGCAGTGGATTTGATTTAGTTTCGGAGACTGTGTCTAACCTGGAGAAAGGCTGAGCACAGTGCCCACCTGGTAGGGCTGTTGGGAGGGTTAAAGTAGATGAGGCCTAGAGCATTCCCAGCTCAGCTTTTGGCATGTAGCAGATGCTCAAGGCAATAGCTGTTATTTCAGCCACCCTCTTCCAGGCAGGGAAAAAAATCTTCATGCCTTCCAACTAACAAAACCAAAGTGAATTGAAAAAGCTAGCCAAGCTGTATAAACCCAACTTTATTTTAAAATTCCAATGGTCAGAATGCTCACTGATGTTTGCCTGTTGTTCGTGCATCAGCACACTTAAATGTGAAGGAGAAACTGTTTCAGCTCCTCTGGTAAGGAAAGTCCAGTGATCTTATAATGCTGCTTGATTCCAAAGCATTTCCGAATCCTGAGGCGGCACAACTGCATTAGAGAAGGAGGCCCTAGGGAAGGATCATAAGAGAGTCACACATTTAGTCACACATTTATTTTATGGATCTGAGACTCATTTTCTGTTTCTTTTCCTTTTTGTTTGTTTTTGTTTTTGTTTTAAGCATACAAAATATAACATTGTTATAAGAAAATAATAAGGTACTGTTTAAGACCATTTTCTGGTTGTTTTCTTGTAGTTCCCTCAGGGGGCTTTGTGTGTGTGTGTGTGTGTGTGTGTGTGGCCACATTCTCTCTTCTATCTAATTGAAAATGATCTTGTTAAGTTTTAATTTAGAAGAGAGTCAAAAAAATTAAAGCTTAGCCCCCAGTAACACAGACTTAAAAAAGATAAATTGGGAATGACTCAGTGACCCCAAATTTCCAATAACGGAAATAAAATTCCTCTCTTAACAGCTATCCCAATCTTCCACTCATAGATGAAAAGTGGATTCACACAAACCTTGCACAGGAACCATTGCAGGGTAGGGTTATAGGGTGAGGGAGTGGGCAGGAAGAGAAACAAAGCACATTTTGCCACCCTAGGGACATTTGGCAATGTTTGGACACACTTTTGGTTATCACAACTAAACCAGTTGCCTTCAGGTTGACTCCAACCCTTGGCAACCCCACGTTGTGTCAGACTAGAACTGTGCTGCATAGAGTATTCAAGGCTGTGAGCTTTCAGGATCTGATCGCCAGGGTTTTCTTCTGAGGCACCTCTGGGTATGTTTGCATTGCTAACTTGTCAGTTAGCCGTCCAGTGCTAAACTGTTGGAGCCACCCAGGGACTCATGTCATAATTGTTGCTAGGTACCATCAAGTATGTTCTGACTCATAGCAACCCTGCATACAACAGAACAAAACACTGCCCCGTCGCGCACCATCCTCACAATGATTGCTATATCGTAGCCTAGAGTTGTAGCCACTGTGTCGATACATCTCTTTGAGGGGCTTCCTCTTTTTTGATAATTCTCGACTTTACCAAGCATGATATCCTTCTTCAGAGACTGGTCCCTTCTGATAACATGTCCAAAGTACATGAGAGGAAGTCCTGCCATTCTCACTTCTAAGGAGTGTTCTGGCTATACTTCTTCCAAGACAACTTTATTTATTCTTCTGGCAGTCCACTCAGTATTCTCTGCCAAAAGCATAATTCAAATGCATCAATTCTTCTTTGATCTACCTTATTCACTACCCGGCTTCCACATGCATAAGAGGCCATAGAAAATGCCAGGGTTTGGGTCAGGCATACCTTAGTCCTTGCAGTAGTTAAGGTTGTGTGTCAACTTGACTGGGCCGTGGTTTTGAGTGATTTGGCAGCTGGATGTAGTTATTCCCCATGATGAGATTATAATCACCTCCATGGAATCTGCTATGAGTAGCTAAGTAGCTGAAAGGCAGTTACCTTTGTGGTTCAGCCTGTTACCAGTATATGTGGAGAAGCTTTGAGAAAGGTCTCTAGCTTTTTGGCACATTTGGATCCTGCATTTGGCCAAGTCTTCATCTCCAGTTCCTGGACTTGAGCCAGTGGCCTGCTGCATTGCCTGCTGATCTTGGGATTGTGCCATTTTACTTGCCAACCTTGGGGTTTGTCAGCCTCAGCAGCCAGCAGCTACATAAGTTAGGAGACACTTCCAGCTCCAATGGATCTGGAACAAGAGGCAGAGCTGAAGCCCAAGGTCAAGGGGCCCTCACCTATCCCCTAGAGCCAGCACTCTGAATTCAGACTTCTAGCCTCCTAAACTGTAAAAGAATAAATTCTTTTGTTAAAGCCATCCACTCGTGGTATTTCAGTTATAGAAGCACTAGAAAACTAAGACAGTCCTCAAAGTGTCATCTTTTCTTTTTAACACATTAAAGAGGACTTTCACAGGAGATCTGCCCAATGTAATCCATCGTTTGATTTCTTGACTGCTGCTTACGTGGGCATTGATTGTGGATCCATGTAAAATGAAAGCCTTGACAACTTCAATATTTTCTCCACTTACCATAATGTTGCTTATTGGCCCATTTGTGAAGATTTTTGTATTCTTTATGTTGAGATGTAATCCACATTGAAAGTGGTAGTCTTTGATCTTCATCAATAAGTCTTCAAATCCTCTTCACTTTCAGCAACCAAGGTGGTGTCATCTGGACATTAATGAATTGTTAATGAGTCTCCCCCCAATCCTGATGCCACCTTCTTCTTCATTTAGTTTAGCTTCTCGCATTCCTTGCTCAGTATACATATTGAATAACTGTGAAAGGATACAAGCCTGACACACACCTTTCCTGATTTTAAACCATGCAGTATAACCTTGTTCTGTTCAAACAACTGCCTCTTGGTCTATGTACAAGTTCCTCATGAGCACCATTAAGTATCCTGGAATTCCCATTCTTTGCAATGTTATCCATAATTTGTTATGATCCAAACAGTCAAATGCTTTTGCACATCAGTAAAACACAGGTAAACATATTTTTGGTATTCTCTGCTTTCAGCCAAGATCCATCTGACATCAGCAATGATATCCCTCATCCCATGTCCTCTTCTGAATCTGGCTTGAATGCTTGGTTATGTTATGTACTGCTGCAATGATTTTTCAATTATGTTCAGCAAAATTTTACTTGCATGTGATATGAATGATATTGTTCAATAATTTCCACATTCTGTTGGCTCACCTTTCTCTGGAATGGGTACAAATATGGATCTCTTCCAGTTGGTTGGACAGGTAGCTGTCTTCCAAATTTCTTGACATAGCCAAGTGAGGACTTCCAATGTTGCACCCATTTGTTGAAAAATTACAATTGGTATTCTGTCAATTTCTGGAGCCCTGTTTTTCACCCATGCCTTCAGTGCAGCTTGGACTTTTCCCTTCAATACCAATGGTTCTTCATCATATGCTATCTCCTGAAATGGTTGAACATCGACCAATTCTTTTTGGTTGTTGTTGTTGTTGTTGTTGTTAAGTGCCATCGAGTCGTTTCCGACTCATAGCGACCCCATACACAGCAGAGCAAAACACTGCCAGATCCCGCGCCAGCCCCACAATCCCTGCTATACTTGAGTCCATCATCGCAGCCACCGTATCAATCCATCTCCTTGAAGGCCTCCCCCTGTTTCGTCAACCATCCACCCTAC